ATAAACAAACAGGGACTACCGCACCTCTCCGCATGCAAGGATGGGTGGGGGTGGATCTCGGTATACGTGAAATATTACAAACCTATATTATTATTTGTAACCTTTTTCAGCCTGTATCTCCGAAACTATTTGAGTCCGACCCTTATATATATATATATGAAATTACTCGGGAAGACATCCCCAACAACATATTTAAAAATCAAGCGAATCGGAGAGGAAGTCGCTTTTATGCACAATTACCAAACTTTTTTTCACAATTTCAATCGATATTGTAATTGCATATTATAACTTTGCATATTATAATAAATTAATAACTGCAAACAATATATAAAAATAAGTTAAAATTTCAGTGTTCTCGATAAAATATATTAGGATCTCACATCATAGTATTTTAATTTATATATCAATTCGTTAATAAAAATGGATAGGTTACAAGAGATTAGCTCGACGAATATATTAATAATATTCGCCATATTTCGCTTGAGTTCTGTCATGTAATTTAATAATTCTCAAAGTGGAAAATGAGCTCGACATAGCATTTGAAACCTATCCATTTTAAGGCAACGAATGTACATCTCTGTATCTACAAGATATATTACAAGATGTATATTCGTTGCCCGATGCCTCTATAATAAAAAAAGTTTTCGACTTACCGACTCGATGCGCAGCAGCGGAGTTCAACTACGTCGATTCTGTAACAGAAATTTATAAGATTCACATTAAAATCAATTCAACAAAATAACTTTTAAATTATGTTAAATAAACAACAAGATAAATTTTATACGAAACAAAAATTAATTACCATAAAGTTGCTCCGCCGTTGCCCGATGCCTCCTAGACCGCCGCCTCCTCTCAGACTCCTCCGTCTCGTACTGGCACAACGCGACACTCACGAAAGAAAAGAAAGAACGCACAACACTCACTCCCGGTGTTAACCGACGTGGACGTCACTGCAGCGAGAACGAGAAACAATCGCGCGCGGAAACACGAGCCGAATCTGGCGAGATGGCATTGCGCGAAACGACGAGAACATTCCGGCGGGAAGCACTAGCGGAGATGCGCGAGGCTAACTTGACGCGCGTCGCGAAAAAGGGAACCGAATGCGTGCGTTCGACAGGGCGATATCGTGCGAACACTTCTCTCGCAGCACATCACGCGTGGAAAACTCGAATATCACTGTACGCGCGAGGAGACACGAATCAAAGTTGAACAACTCGGTGCACTCCTGGCGCCCGAGAATACGACGGCGCCGTAGCGACGCCGACCGCGCGTGACATTTCGGCCGGGATTTTCCACATTTACGCGTCTCGATGGATTACCATTCGCGAGGATCGAGTCTACGTCGTACGATTGTCGAGCTGAACAATGTTACCGCACTTGTGTGTACCGTAAAACGCGTCGACCGACACACGAAATCGATTCACTGCGTGTCCACGGCGCTCCTCGAATGGATTAACATGGCGTCGTTCCCGGCAGCTACTGCGCGGCGCTGCTACTGCACTACGCGAATCACGTCCACAACGCGATGTATTTCGAATAGAGGAAACGACAAGTTTCTCTCTTCCGAGGAACGAAAAAGTCGTGTAATTTCGCGGAATATGATCGCGCACATCGCCCCGTGGCGTACGTCCCGGCGGCTCGAACGCTACTGCGAAGAGCGAACGTCCTCTGACCGCGCGGCGGTCGCCGGCGGCACGGCGGCTCGACGTAAACAATTACCGAGCGGCGCGCGGGGTTGAAAAACATGATAACAATTTTGAACGAATAATGAAAGATACGCCGTACCTGCTCCGTTGATTTTTACAGATAAACGGCTATCATTTTGCGTGGGTAACGGTTGGTCGCTGTGATCGCTTTGAAAAGTCTTCATTTCGATTATTTAAATGGCACCCCTGATAGAATTGGTAACTGTGACTGGTTACATTTTTAGCGAAACAATTGTAACTATAACTAGATACTTTTATATAGTAACTTTCCCAATCGTGTATATAATATAAATACTAATACATAAAAATGCTGAACAATGTATTTTAAAAGTAACATGCACAAAACATTAATTTGATTAAAAAGTAACTGTTAATAATTTACATTTGTAATAATTGATTTTCAGATACCTATTATAAAATGTAAGCATTAAATTATTGTTATTATTACAATGATCATTAAAAAAAATTAATACATTTTTAGAATCAATGCAAAGAAATATAAGATTCAGTGTTTTTACAGAAATGTTATTTACATGTTTTATCAGACAGTTCAGCATTAAAAAAATAGGAAATTATACAAAATTATCTATCACTGTCCGATCCGCCATGTTGCTTGGATGTATACATACTATACCCGCACTGAAAAAAATTTCTGGTTGAATATGGACGAATCAGATAATTCCTTTAGGATTTACCAGAATTCCTTTAGGATTTACCAGAATTCCTGTAATCCTACAGAAATTCTGGTAAATCCTAAAGGAATTATCTGATTCGTCCATTTTCAACCAGAAATTTTTTTCAGTGCGAATCCATGATTAACGCATTATTTGTATGGATTGCACATTTCTTTCCCACTCACTTTATCTCACTTTTACAAATGTTCTTTTTCCTCACTTATCGCACTTTTATCTTTTTCTTCGTCCCTCTCTGATATCGCTAATACTTTTCGTCGCTCTCACTGACTTCTTACCGAGCTTATCGATCGTACGACCATAAAGTGGCAGACAGTTTACCTCGAATCTCTCGATCTGAATAATACGCGGAATCATAGAGGTATCGAAAGTGTTTTAAACATGAAAGCGTTCGTGTTTTCTACGGAATTTGTTTCCTGTGTTCACCGAAGTTTTGTGAAAACCAAACGCAGCTAAAATTTAGAATTTTTAACGTGATAGAAAAGTAACAAGAACCTTAGAAATTAAAAAAAGAAAGAGAACACCGTAAATACTAATAACAATGAGTAGAAGGTATTAAACATAAAAATGAAACTTGTTGTAAAATTTAATACATGTGATGTTATAATTGAAAACTTCTAATTGTATTGTACATACAGTGATATCATTTTTATAACAATAATTTTCAATTTTTTACAATTTTATTGCAGATAACGGCAGGAAAGGAAAACATTACAAAGTATTAAAAATATTTCTAATTATATATTGTAAAATATATTATTAATATCGATATTGATACAATATTGATTATTAATATGTATCAAAGCGTTTTATCGATATCGCATAATGATAAAAAATTCTTATTTTCATATCTTTTTAAGGTTTAAAGAGGGAAGGAACAACTAACACGAGTAACTAGAATATCAAAAAGTGTGATATCATCGACATATGATATCATGAGTGATGTTCTTCGCACTCTTAAATTGCTTCAGTCAGTCCTTAACTGCCTGCGTAAAACTACATATTTTCATTAGGTTAGTACAATCACTGTCTTATATTTTATATCTGTCTTATATTTTATAATCAAAATAACCATGAAAATGCAGCTTAGGTTTTGCTGGATCAATTCTTTTATTTCATCAAAGATAATCTAGATGGATAGATAAAATTTCATTAAATTTAAGATAAAAGTTATAATTATCTAATCATCATAAGGTTTTACAAATATATCGTAGCGTTAAAATCATAATAAGATTTTTGTATTGTGGAGAAGTCTAGATATTGTACCTATTTTATTCTCGACCATTGATTTATTTTGAACTTAATATTTTAATTTTTGACACAAAGAATTGGTATATTTTATGTATACAAGACATTTTTAATGTTAATTAATTAATTAGATTGCTATCAATTTTATATAATTTAACTGTTTTTCTAATACTTTATTGAATATAATAAGCTATGTAATTTACATGATAAATTGATAAATATTGAAAAATATAAGCCGAAATATACAGTAGGTAATTGGTGATATGTTGCTTAAGAAATTGAATGCAAAAAGGAATTAATGCTAAGCGATAATAGAGCATAGTAACCGGTACGACTCAATCAAAGTAATTGAGATAAATTTTTAATTCGTACCTTGCACGCCTATGTGCACCGGGTGTTAAAAAATAACCTGTAATTAAGAGCGGCGTTTGTTCGTTCTCGTAAGAATGTGGCTTTATCCATTTCTGCAATAACAATTCTTTATATCGCTAATTTTATTATTTCTCGGTCATTATCAGTAGTAATCTGTTTTATTTCGTTATATAATAAACTGTAACATTACTTTTTTAAGTACATATAAATTTCAAAGTTATTTTGAAATTGAAGAACTGCATGCACAAGATTTTAATGAGGCACACAGAAAAGAGACTAGAGTAGTTAACCGATTTACTATGCGCTTGTCTAACATAAATCACAGCTGAGAAATAATTCTTATAATTCTTTTATTATATGTATATATTATGTATCTTTATAATTTTTATATAATATTTGTTACCATTGTATTTAACAAACGCGAATCCTTATTACTGCATTTGTTTTGTTTGTCGTTTTCCATGAAAATTGACAATTGTACTCTACGTGCATATATTTCATGAATAATGTGCTAAGAATACTTGTACTGAAGGTTTGTACAATGAGTTATGGCAGGTGGTAGAAGTAACGTGCAAAGTATTGATTCCTACTTAATTCTTATCATGTTAGATTACGATATGATACTGATCTTATCGTATCGTAAAGTTATCTCCATCCATTTTTCGTGTTCTTTCTATTAACATGGTATAAAAGTAAACTCTTTTACAAAGGATACAGTTTTGATATAATCGTAGTAAAAATAAATTATACTAAATTTAAATTAGTTTTTCATTTGTGTTAAAAGAGTACAGTATGTCAATGTAACGTTAACATTATCTATACTAAATGAAATTTTTATAAATTGATAAGTATACAGCTATAAAAATAATTATCTCTGATTTCAGAACTGACATTAAGACGGGACAGCAATGCCGATGTTAGTCATCAAGACTTCATATTTACTAACTTGGCATTGCATTCTTAAGATCATGCAATTGGTATATAAATCAATATTCATTTTTATTTAATTATAATATTAATGACTTGTGATTACGAGATATGAATGCTTTTTGTTGGCGTGCTATAAATACTCATCAATAAATGACCTTCAATAAATAAAAAATCACATTGCATGTGATCTGCACTGCGTTCTTAACTAAAAAACTAAATATCTTGACAAAGTTATTCTAAATAGCACAGGCTGTTATACATTGTTACGAACTCAAAGGAATTTTTCAAGTTCTCTATAATTAACATAATCTGTCCAAAATAACTTACAAAAGAATTTTCTTTCTGTGCAAATTTTTATAGAGTATAAAACGAATTCTCTTTGTATCTGAAAGAAAGTTAAAAAAATGACATAAAGCAAATTTTTTTGGATTCTTAATAAATTTTAGAACAGAAATGGAATGGAAAAAAAATTAATTCTATAATTCGAGAACTGATAAAAAGTTTCTTTTGTATTCTTTGTACTATTTGAGATTAGTAATGTACATGATACATAAGACACATTGCATAATATTTGAGATAATAGGATAAAGTTGTATTACCAATTTCTGGCTATTGATTACGAACAAATGTATTTTTTAATAATAATAATATCTTATTAATTTATATTCTAAGCACAATTCAATTATACATATTATCCTAAATATACAATCTTATTGTGTTATTAATAGTATATTCTGATATTGTTGTAGGAGAAAATTACATCTCTCTAATTGGCATTCTTATTTTTTACAAACAGATGCTGGGTACGATTTGCGTTGGAATCATTGGCAATAATTTTATGGACCATCATTTTCCTTATTCAAATCCACAAAATTTCTTTCTTATCGTAACAACTACTTTCTATATTAATACATTAATTCTATTTATCAGTTATCTGTTTTCCTCTTCTGCACCCGTTATACGTAAAACAAATTATGTAAGTACTTATACATATATAAATAAATTGTGTGTGTGTGTGTGTGTGTGTGTGTGTGTGTGTGTGTGTGTGTGTGCGAGTGAGTATATAATGCATTTTAGTATAAATTATTTAATCTATTAATCTTGTCGTTTTTTATAACATAAAAAAGATGGTTTCGAGTGCTAAAACTTATTTAAATAACATTAAAACCGTGGATTATTGGAACAGTTGATATAATTTATTTTAAAAAATTATGTTAATTGACACTTTTTCGTTTAATTTTTCAGGAATTTCTTTGTAACGCCACAACATGCGTATTATTTCTTACGGCTTCAATTGCAGTGCTGGTGCAAATAAATAAGAAAAATTATTATTATTATAACTATAAAGCGTTATTAGCAGCTTCCGTAAGTACAATATTGCAATCATAAAAAATTAAGTGATTATACATTATTTTTATGTTTATTATTACATTTTTAAAAAGTGTATTCATTTTTATTTAGATTTTCGGTCTGCTAAACAGCATGTTGTACCTCTGCAACGCGGTCTTCGACTATGACATTCAAATGAAGAATCAAGAAAATGCTTAAATTAAATGTTTATGATTTTCTAAACAGTAAAAATGGATTATTCCTAAACGAATTTTCTTTACAAATAAGGTTTACATATGTTTAGAAAATCTATTTAATTAAATTAATATGAAAATGTAATATGTATGTACATACGTAAAAAAAGTTTAACTGTCTGACTATATTTGTTACTTAGCGGGTATAACAAACTTTGCAAAATGTTTTACACCTTTTCTGGATTATTTGATAGTATTCACAAACATTTGCTACGATTGTTTTACTAGTATTCGTACAAAACACATATTTTATATAGACATATTTGTTTCATATGTATATATGTATAATATTTATAGTTATTAAATAAAAGGTCGGAAAATGTATAAATTGCACGATCCGATTTTTATCAGAATTTATACAAAAATGCAAAAACATTCGGTCGTTGGAATCATTAGAAGATGATAGGTCTAAACGCTTTAAATGCATATTGTAATTAAATTTATAATTAAGTTATCTTATCGTAAATTATCTTATTATTATTAAAATAATGCTTTAATTTCTGTCACCAACAAGACTGTCGTGCGTACATACTAAATGCTACTCATGTTACTTATTTTACTTATAAACGAAGCTGCAGAATCAAAATTTTTCGTAACATAAACATTAAAATAAGGAACTGCCATCTCTATGTTACCTCAAATCACATTGGTCCTTTTTATTGTATATATTTTGTATCAATATGCGCCGATTATATTATGCATTTGCTATAATTGTGTGATGGGGAATATTGGGATCAATATTTAAAAAAATGCAAGAGCAGAATCTTTAGTTAATATAAATATATTTATTTTAGACGTTATTTCTATATGATATTCATTCTTCTCCAAATATATAAATAACCAAGAAAGAATATAAATTTTCAATATTCACTCAGAGTTTTAAATAATTGTGGTTAACACTTGTCACAATAAATTTGTAACAATATTAAATTATTAGGTATCTACCAAATGTAAGTATTATATTATTATTTCCAGTTATCAGTTTTCGAAAAAATGAATAAAATTTCACAAACAAATGCTGTTATTGTAAAATGAGAGTTTACAGGGCTGCGTTCGTGGAACTCGCTATCGCGCTGCTAAACAGAAACGCTACCAAAGACCGTTCGTGAAACAAATAGCGCGATAGCGTTAGCGAGCTCCGTGTACAGCGGAATAGCACGAATAGCGCTGACACAACATGGCGGATAACCTCGTGAAATAAAAATAATAATAATTACAACGTTTTAGTAATATATTATACATTTACATATTATATATTATTATTTATTATTTATTTATTAACTTACCGGTTTTTGCTCTAAGAGTATCAGCCACGGAAACGGTAATTAATACATTTTCATTAGTTTCTACAACATGCAGAGTAATTTCCACATAATTGCTTTCTATTACTTTTGCGATTAATCAAACACAAATACAATTAACCAAACAAGATGTACTATTGACAGCTACTGACAGCGTTCACGGAGCTCACAAACGCTAACGCTATCATCACACTACCTTGGAAGGAAAAGCGTTGGTAGCATGCGATTATGACGTATAACGCCACCATTAATGACGTTATAATGGCGTTTGCTAGCATTACCATTTAGCACCGCGAACAACCTGTAGCACCAAACATCGTTGACAGTGAGCTCTCCGAGAACGCACCCAAGATAGTTTATAGGTAAGATTCCGTTAATTTTGTAAAAGAGTTTTTATCAGATATTTTGGCATTTTTTCGATGTACTTATAAAAAATTATACAAAATTTATCTGCCATTGCACGACGTGTTATTTCGATGCGTGTGCCTGAATCCAATAACGATCGCATTATATCTTTGAGAATGCATATTTCCTTTTCCGCTCATCTTTTTATCTCATTTTATGTGAAATATTCTGTAAAATGTTCTTCTTTCTCTCACTCATTACTTTTATCCTTCTTTCTGTCTCTCTAACGTCGTTTGTCCTGCCTTTTCGTTGCTTTCGCTATCTCTTCACCGAGCTTATCGTACAACCGGTAATTTGTGGCTGACAGTTCACCTCGGAATCTTGAGCCGAATGACTCGCGGAAATATCAAAAATATAAAAGCGCTCTTGTTCTTACAGAATTTTTTCCTCTATTCTTTGAGATTTTGTGAAACAAGAACGGCAAGAGTCGTAACTGTCATTTTCCAAGCGATAGAAAAGTGACGAAAAATTGAATCCTATGTTAAAAACTAAAATAAAAAGAGAGAAAAAGAAAACGGCGTAAATACTATATGACAAATAACAAGGAGTATTAAATAAAAAAGGTATTAAATATAAAAGTGTAATTTTTAAATAAAATTTAGGATATGCGATTGAAAACATAAAGTTGTATTGTGTCCCGCAATATCATTTCGTAAGAATAATTTGCAATAAATTGTTAACAGTGTTGTTATGACAGTATGGAAAAGGAACATGTGCAAGTATTTAAAATATCTGACTATATATTGTAAAATATATTATTATATTAATATTGACACAATATTGATTATATTAATTTGATATTACGGTCACATATTGATTTTTTCTTGATATTAAAATGAGTCTTATCGACATCGTACACTGATAAGAAATTCCTTGATATCTTTTTAATAGCTGGAAAGAGGTAAAGTACAAATACCTAACATGAATTACTAGAATATTATCAAAAGGTACTATATCAATCTCACTTGTATGATATCATCAGTGACGTTCTCCATGCTCGCAAAATGTATCGCTTCAGTCAATTGTTAGCTGCCGATGTTAAACTACGTACTTTATCAGGTTAGTGCGATCATCACGCATCTTGTGTCCCATATTTTCTAATCATGATATCTATAAAAATACGTCTTAATTGCGTATTTGTTGGGTCAATAAGTAAGCAAGTTTCTTTATTTCATCAAAGTAATCTAGATGAATGGATAAAATTTTATTAAATTGATATAAAAATTATAATAGAGCTAATAATCGTGATAAGTTCTTGCAAATATATGGCAGTGTTGAAATAATCACAAGATTTTTTCTTGCATTCGAGGAAGTTTAGAAGTTCTTTTTTACTCTCCGTTAGAGATTAATTTTTAACTTCTTATTTTATTTTGATTGTAGGGTATGAAGAATTGGTACATTTTATGTAAACACAAAATTTTTTATGTTAATTAATTAATTAGATTGCTATCAGTTTTATATAATTTAATTGTTTTTCTAATTTCTTACAATTAAAGGAAAAGACGAATGTAGTTTTATTTAGTACAATAAACTATGTAACTCTGATAATAAATTGATGATTTGGAAAATATAAGGAAAGAATATAGTACGATAGAGAGTATAACTGGTGACACGTTACATAAAGAATTTTTGAACAAGTTAATATTGAACGAGAATCGAGCACAGTAACAGATACGACTCGTGGTCTTAATCAAAGTCATTGAGATAAATTTTCAACTCGCACCTTGTGCGCGTATGTGACTCGGGTGTTCGAAAATAACCTGTGATTACGAGCGGTGCTTGCTCGCTTTCGTAAGGACGTGACTTTCCGCAATAACAAATTTATGAGTTACTGATTTTATTATACTTTGATAATTATTTGTCACATCCCCTTTTCATAATAAACTGATCTTAAATATCAAATCTCTCTATGAACACTGTTTAATATATTATGTGTTTGTATAAAATGTATATAAATCACTATTTTATCGTAAATTATTCCTTAAATAATCTTAATAATTTTTGTGTAATATTTATTACTATTAAATTTAAGAAAGACGAGAATCGGTGTTAGCATATTTTACATAAAAATTGCAGTGTATTTCACGTCACTATACTTTATGAAAAATTTGCTAATAACGTACTGAGCTATGACAACTCGTAGAAGTAACGTGCAAAGTATCTTACACAATTCTTATCATGTCAGATTACGATACAGGTCTTATCATAAAGTTATCAATTCTCCATATTCCTTCTTTTGACATAGTATTAAAAGAAAACTTTTTACAATAAAAATTTGCACTTTTGATATAATTATACTAAGTACAAATTCTATTGAATATAGATAAGTTTTTTATTTGGATTAAAAGAATACTGTGTAATGTAGCATTTCTATTATTATTATTATTATTATGTAAAGTTTGACCTATCGATAATTGTAGAAATGTTGTAACTTTAACTATGAAAAGTATCTTTTCCATTAATATAAATGCAACAAAAATGTTTGGGAATTGTTAATTACATATCTGAGATTTAAGTTACAAGACTCAGTATAACTAAAATATTGCAAAATTATTGTGTCCATATGAATTGATGTGAGACGTAATTTGTAGGAGCTTTTGATATGTATAATAAAAAATTATTAGGAATACAACTATTATATTTATAGATTTATGCCTATGTAATTATTCAATTGTGACACACGGACACTTTCAATAGAAAATCTATTAAAGTTATTAAAGAAAAAAACAAAGTATATAAGATTTTTGCAGCTGCAAATTACAAGTGTAGCTTTTTGAGGAAGGTTGTGGTGTTACTTAAATTACATTTACATTTTTGCAACGTTTTTCTTTGTGCATTCTCGTATTTTGATCTTGATTTGTTTATCACGTGGCATTTTTATTGAATAATATTTTTATAAATTATTAAATGTGTGACTACAGAAGAATTATTTTTAATTTCAGAATTCTGACATTAAGACAAGGCAACAATGCCGAATATTGTCCTCAACCTTGACTATTTGAGAAGTTGGAACGCCACTTTTAAGATCCTACAATTGGTATAAATTAATATTATTTTATTATTTTATTTCTTAAATACAATTTTAATTGATTATTTATTATTGCATCTAATTATGATTTAATTAAAAAACAACCAATGTTATAATTTGTTTAATTAATACATTTTGGGATGAATGTTCGGAGACATTTACACAATCTTATACATGTAATAGTTTTTACCGTAACAGTATCTGCAATTTGTACTTTTAAATATACAATATTATTGTATTGTTAATAGTACATTTTGACGCTATATTAATTGCAGAAGAAGTTTATAACTCTTTAATTGACACTGTTAATTTTTGTCAACAGCTGTTGGGTACAATATGTGTTGGAATCATCGGTAACGATTTTAATCAGGAAAAGACATACTCATACTCCACATTAACCTTTTATCTTGTTGTTACATGTGCTTTCTACATTAACACATGTCTTCTCTTTGTCAGTTATTTGATATCTTCTTCTGCATCATCCGTTATACCTAAAACAATTTATGTAAGTACTTTTATATGCATAAATTAAATTGTGATGTATCTTATGTATAATTTATTTAATTTATTAGTCTTATCTTTCTTGCAAGATGTAAAAAGATAGTTTTAAATGTTAAAATTTGTTTAAATTTTATTAAAAAATGTGAATTATTAAAAGAAGCTGTTTAGTACAATTTATTGTTATATTTCACAAATTACATTGATTGACACTTTTTCGTTTAAATTTTCAGGAATTTCTCTATCATACCATAGCGTCCGTATTATTACTTTCGGCTTCAATAGCAATGATGGTGCATATACATAAAGGGTCTACCGCCTATGCTAGCAGCTATGAAGCGTTATTAGTGGGTTCTGTAAGTACAATCGTAAAAATTTAAGCCTTGACTATAAGAAGAAATGGGAATTATAATACAATAATATTATATACATATGTATGTGTATGCATACCCATGTAGCAAGCCGACGTTACTTGTCGTCATTTTGACGTCAAAGTGACGGCAGAAACATCATTTTGATATCACAAGACACGGTAGTGTCTCGCGCCAAGTATAAGCGTAGCTACAACCGCGCGTCAAGATGACGACAAGTAACATTAGCTTAAATTGCTACCTGGATATACTATATGTATGCATACATATGTATATGTGTGTAGGTATTATCAATTTGCATGTATTATATTGCAGAATATTGCAGACTTAAGCAATCACCTATCAATTATTTTTGTCAGTTTAAAATTATTTTCTTTTAGCAAAAATATGTCAGAACCATGAAAAGTAATTTACTAAGTCTGGGTATACATATATGTAAATTGTAACTATATGTTATGTTTATGCCTGTTATTAGATTGTAAAAAATGTCTTTATTTTTATTCAGATTTTCAGTCTGCTAAACACCATTTTGTACATCTGCAGCGCGGTCGTTGGCTATGGCTCTTATGGAGATGACTGAAAAGTTAAATTACATTTTTGTGATTTGTTTGCACAGTAAAATTAAATTATTTCTACACTTGTCTTCGCCAGACTTACATATTTAAACAATTTTATTTAATTGAATCGATGTGAAAATATTGTATAAAGAATTTTGACTGCCAAACTATGGTCGGTACTTATAGTCCGATCTTATTTCTGAAGATCATCTCAAGTAATGTCTTAAAATGCTAATATGACGGCTCTTCGATTGGTTTACAACATATTAAAATTATACGTAAGATGATCTTAAATATAAGAAAGGAACATGAATACCGGCTTACATTTCTTACTTAGCAAGTACTGACAAAATTTCGAAGAACCTTTTAATATGCTTTACTCTTCATGAATCATTAATAGCATTCACAAACATTCGCTATGCTTACCACTAGTATTTTTACAACATACATATTTTATGTAGACACATTTATTTCATATATACAATAATATTTTCAGTATTAAATAAATGATCGAACAAGCTATAAATTGTACGATACAATTTGTATTTAGATTTCACACAAAAATGCCAAAAAAGTGCATCGTCCGATTGTCTAATATAGTCTAATAGATAGATTACAGATTATATTTATAAGAGTTTATTATAATTTTTCTGTTTTTTCATTCTTATTTAACTAGCATAATAATTTGAGTTTTCGAAGTTCAATTAATGACTTCATTCGTATATCACTTAATTCTGTTTTTAAAGACAAGTTATACTAACTTAATTGTCAAACATTTTTGTAACAGTTAGATTATAAGTACAATAGTATTATTTAGAAAGCTTGAGAGCATTTATGTTTCTTCATTTTGTATATGTACAATTATATGAAAATTACAATAAAATACATAATTTCATATTGTTAGCCTTTGTATACGTATAGCACGTGTTCATTGCTGTAACGATTCAACATGTAGATTCAGTTGACAGTAAAATTTTATTAAAGCGTAATATATTTTTTCTTTTTTAACACATATAAATAAAGTGAGATGTACTAAACGTATCATAAATCCGTATATAAAGTAATATTACGACGTGCGAAAATTGTCAAAGTATTTAAAAATCTGCCAAGCAAGGAATTAAAATTTGCGATACGTAAAATTATATTTAGTTTGTACAAGGTGGGCCAAAAGTAATCATCCGATGTTGTTTGGCTATAATTTGTAAATGAAACGAAATATTTCGATGCGATTTTCTTTAAAACATTATTTGTTCTTTTAAGTTTTATTACATCAAGATTTGAAAATGATATCGGTCAAGTGATCGCCGCTATTGTTGATTACCATTTGGGCCCTTTTAGCATTTTCCATGGCTTTTTTGAGAACGTCGGGCGATATGTTGGCCGCTTCATGTCGGATGTTCTCTTTAAGGGCTGCCAGAGTCTGTGGCTTGTCCGCAGACCCGCGACTTCAAAAACCCCAAAGAAAAAGTCAGGAACAGTCAAATCGGGCGATCTTGCGGGCCAGTGCATATCGCCGAAACGCGATATGAGGCGGCCCGGAAATGTCTCCTTCAGAATGGCGGCGGTCACTTGACCGATATCATTTTCAAATCTTGATGTAATAAAACTTAAAAGACCAAATAATGTTTTAAAGAAAATCGCATCGAAATATTTCGTTTCATTTACAAATTATAGCCAAACAACATCGGATGATTACTTTTGGCCCACCTTGTAGAATAATATGTTATTTCACAAGAATAATTTTTATTAATTTGACAGTTTTTTAGCAAGCCCAATAAATTTGAAGAAAACTGCATAAAGTATTTAAAATATATCTTATTCTATTATTAATATTATCGATATATTCATGCAGTTATCAATTATTAATTTATTTATATTAGAGTCACTATATTGTGGTGACAAATTAAAATTTATCTGTAATGTATATCGATGAGAAATTTTGTACTTTGTTCGTTTCATAAATAGCTTCATAAAGAAACGCCCAATAACTAACAATAAGTTGCTGAAATATTATCAAAAGATATACTAATGCTATCTGTATGATATCATCAATGACGTATCTCGTGGTCTCATTTATCGTTTCAGTCAATCGTTAACCGCCGATGTAAAATAACGTATTCTCTTTAGGTTAGTACATTATTTTACCTTGCACATCACTGTAATCCATAATAGCTTAAGCATGTAGTTTTAATTAATTATTTGTTAGAGCAAAGTGTAACCAATTGTATTGTATTGTTTGTTAAAATCGCCTCATCTTCACAAGAGGGACGGATAATTTCATGTATTAAAAGTAAAGAATTATCTTTGATTTTAGGATTGATATCAAAACGAGGCAACAATGTTGAATATTATCATCAACACTGATTACTTGAAAAGTTGGAACGGTATTTTTAACTTACTACAATTGGTATACGTTATTACTATTTTATTTGTTTAAATGTTGATTTATCAGTCGTTGTTATGATTTCTTCATCAATTCATAATATTAGAAAATAATTAATTATTAAATCCTTAATTTTTCAATAAAAATAGATAATATCTTTAAATAAAACAGATTAAAAAATGAATCATATTCTTGTGACGTTTAATTATAAGAAATATGTAACGTTTAATGAAAGAAATTAATATTATTGTTAATTGAGGAATACAATTTGCCATAATGTTTTTGATATTTGCGCAATTTTTAAGTAAATTGCGACTGGTTATTAGCCGATTTCAACGAAACCGATAACGAAATCTTATCTTAGTATTGGAGATACTAATTAGATATATAGTTAGTCTCCATATATACATATGCTATACATATGTAATATAAAATAAAATAAAAATAAAATAACTGTAGTATCTCCAATACTAATATAAGATTTCGTTATCGGTTTCGTTAGAATCAGCTAATAATAAGTCGCAATTTATATTTCTAAATAAATAATTTTGTTGTATTATTAATAGTATATTTCTTCTTCATTTTTATAAAAAATGCTTATATCTCTTTAATTATTATTCTGAATAATTTGTAAACAGGTGTTTGGTGCAATTTGTACAGGAATAATCGGAAGCATAGAAATCTATAATAGTATTATTACTATTGGTCCTTTATATCAGAAAGAATGCTTCTTTTTTATTGTATCATCTACTTTCTTTATTGGCACTTTTATTTTCTTTATCAGTAACCTGGTGTCTCCTTTTACTGCATCCATTTTACCTAAAACACTTCATGTAAGTTGTTCAAAATATACAAATAAAATTAGTTTGTTTAATTTATTAATTAAATTTCTTCTGTTTATACGTTAAGAAAAGTTCTTTTTAGAGATAAAACGCATTTTAATAATAATTCAAATAAATTGTTAAAAGACTATTTGATAATTTAACATAATTTATTTTAAAAAATAATATTCTTATCGTTCTTATAATTAACATTCTTAATTCTAAATTAAAACCCTTTTTAAACTTTCAGGAACGCCTTTATAATTTTTTTGCCGCCGTTTTATTATTCGTGGCATCATTATGTTTGATACTGGAAATACATACGGCTAAGACAGCGTTTAATAACTATAAACCATTATTAGCAGCTTCTGTAAGAAATATTATATTTGTAAAAAATTAATTATGATGCTAGAAATTTTTTGAAATTATAATAAGCATTAATGTTCTGTTCACATAAAAAGATACACATAAATAAACATTAATGCATATATGTACGACTATACGTAAATCTAATGAACAACTATATTTAAAAATATAGTTATTCATTAGATTACGAATCTGATGAATCAATCTTTTTTAATTGCATCAGATTTATAAAGAATGATTGGCTGAACACGTCATATTTAAAAATCGTAAATTATGCGTACGTTATTGGATCTTATTCTGAAACAAATTATCAATTTTTATTTAGATTTGCGGACTGATAAACACCATCTTATATATCTCCAGCGGAAGCATCGCTTGTGTGGCGAACTTAATAAAGTAAATAACTTAAACAATTGTATTGTAATTAATGTATAATAATTGTAGTGTGTATTGTGGAAAGAGAAAATAGATATTATTATTATATAAATTGTGACCCCCTTGCACAAGCCAAATATGTATATCTTAGGAAATTTATTTAATTGAATAAATGTACAAACAATGTATAATATAATGAATCTTCACTGTCGAACTGTATTTGATACTTGGCATGGCAATTACACGCTTCAATTAATTTTTTGAAAATACGTTTATATTAATTCGTTAAATATTTGGTGAATATTTTCACTTGGACCCTGACCTCCTTAGAGATCAAGGTCAACTTTAAGATCAACCAGAATTCGATTGGTGAGAGATGACAGAGAATAAATATATTTTACGGAGAGGAAATAATAATCTTTGCAGCAAGCCTTTGTTATTAGTTTGTTGTTCTCGAAAAATAATGATTAAAATTTTTCTCGCTTATTCTGTTGGTTTGAAAAATGATGCTAAAGGACGGCTACGTTCGTTGAGCAAATCGTTGTGCATATCTATGTGAAACAGAAAGGAAATAACGTTGGCAGAATAATTTGTTGCTAATCTGTTGTTCCCGACAAATAATAATTAAAATTGATTTATTTTCTAAATATTTTTATTGTAAACATATAATTTGATATATGTAGAAGAAATTGTAAACATTAATTTTTTTAATTTATAAGTGCAATTATGTTTTAAAAATGACATGCAAAATACATACATTTATATTATCTTATATTATCTTCCGTTTAAATTTTTTTACTTGTCTGTCAACTGCTCAGAGCAGGCGGGCAAAGAGCGAGCATTCTGGCGTGGCACGTGCCAGAAATAGACAGTAATTTCCCTTGTGTCGATTGCTATGCGGGGGGTGCAACGACATTCAGACTTTGTAGATGCACAGGCCTACACCCTCAGTCAGTTTAAAAGTGTCGCCGGTCGTGATCTGTTCTCCTAAAAATTGCTACCAAAAAGTTCAACGATTAAGCATTAAAGTGTAAACTTATTTGAATCTTCCAACACGTATAATATAATATTATCAAAACTTTATTTGAACTTAAAGATTTTGCAGCCTTGTAATTAGCCTTTTCTTTGTTTATTTGTAATTTTGACAAAATTCAATGTAGAAAAATTGTCTATGTGCTTAGATAGCGAAGACAGTTTATTGTGTACTGGACCACATTTTTTTTAATTATTGTAACAAGAAAGTTATTTGAAGAAATATTATTTTTGAGCGTAAGTGGATAATTGTGGTAAATTATCCCACTTAATTATCCCAGAGGAAGAGAAAAAAGGGAAAGAGGACGGGTATTTAAATACTAAGTGGGGACATTACAATAAAGAACGTCGGAGAAGTCATAAACAGAGACAATTTAACGAACATTGCAGCTCATTGTCAGTATATAGAAACTGGCACTAAGTTAATTGCCAGCAACACGAAATTATAGTCATGAACAATATGGGACCTGTAATAAGGATGTCATCCTCTGGTACGCACGGCGCGGGCGGTGTTGGTTGCTGTTGTTTCAGATGCTGCACGTGCATACACGTCAATTTCTTTAAATCATTGCCAGGAATCGTGAAAATTTGCGAAACAGTAAGTAACTACAGTTGCATATTATGTTGCATGTAATATTGCCTACTATGTGGCATTTAGAAAATTCGACAGAGTTGTAATTCTTTAAACATATATACGTATAATAAAAATTAATATTTATTCACCTATGATTAATCTTTAAAATCTTTTGTAAAACCTTTTACTTATGACTATAATTCTTAGATTTTACATTAAAAGGCATGATATGGAGAATAAACAAACGTATAAAATATAAGTATACATATACCTGTGTATAATTACGATTTTATAATGTCTTAATTAGAATATAATTTCAGGTTATCAGTGGATTAATTCAGAGTTTGCTTATTAATTATGGTTTGAGGTATAGTTCATCTATTGGCTCGGCTTTTGAAGGATCATTGACCACGGCATCCGCCTGCTTCCTGACTTCCGCTCTGTTACTTGCTTGCTATACAATATCGGAAAAATCCTACAAGTTGATTCGTTCGTCACTCTTTGTACGTATTTATCTATTTCAAATAACAATAAAACGAAGAAGTGTATTTTAAATAATTAATTATTTGTGAAAATGTTACTATTGACAGCTTTAGCCATAAAATTTCAATAATGTTCTATCACTATTAATGCCGTAATTTCGGAATTATTACATTACACTTTTGTTCTTTTTCAATATCAGGAGATGATGTTCAATGCTTTAGCCTGCTTCCTGTATTTAAGTTCAGCATCTTACTTGGCTTTTGCCACTAAATTATTTTTAATGACCGAGTATTACCTGAGACCCGGCTTTGACGTTTATCCTGCCATGACAGCCGCTTATGTAAGTCTATTAGTGCAATCGTGCAAATCGTGAATTTAACGCTTTCACTAATTTGCGTCATTCTTTATTCACCTAACCAGAGACAACAATTGAGAAAAAGAATTATGGTGATTTTTATTTACGTAATCATGAATATGACATAGCTTTATGCCAAATTGCAGAAAACAAGTTTAGAAAACGACTAACATTTATTTTCATGTAGTTACTTTTAATTGTTGCTTTAATTGGAAGTATTTTATTTAAAAGGATATTATGAATTGCAGATTTTAAGCGGCGTTGTGGGAGTATTGCACGGTACAGATGCTTATTTATCTTTTGTTCACTACAAAACCGGAAGGTGAATGGTGATAATTATGAAAATCTTGGGAATACCAGCTATATAATTCTGCGACAAGACGTGGCAATTATATGTATGCCTACATATTACGACGTTAAACGATTATTCTGGAGCACGGATTTTCGCGAAATAGAATTAAGTGTTAGATGTGAGGCATTAATTTACCGATTAATGCCACTATAATAATATTGCGTAGTATTATTGAAATATTAACATATTATAAAATTAGTTGTAATGTAAATTAAATATTAATTATAATATAAGTTATTCTAGAAATAGTTACTAATTAATAGTGTTGTTAGAATTAATTAAATGGTATTATTACATTGCCTTTGGTAATATCGATAAATTATACGATAAATTAACAGGTTTATAATTTAAAATTGTATACATTACTTCTCATATTATTTTCATATATTTTTCCGAATGACATTTCAGTTGATCAAATATAAATCAAATTAAAATCGAGCCGATTTTATGGATTACACGTAATCGTAGCAACCATTTACAGTATTGCTTATCAATTTGAGGCGTATCTGACACGCTTACCGAATCAATATTTCGTTGAAATTTGGTGCGTCATAGTGCTGCCGCATTTACGTACACGATAAACTGGACAGTATTTAAAAAATGATGGACGAATCATGTGGAGAGACTTATATAGTTTCATTACGTTAATGCGTGCGTGATATGAAATAAACATCGAAATGAAAGAATTATGAGAGTATTCCATTGTCGCTTTGACGTAATATTTCCAAATGTTAAGTTGCATCTTCGAAAGAATATATTTGGAATTAATAATTAGGACACACTTAACATTGCATAAGTAAGCATGACAGCTTATTTATTATATATAATAATATGTATAGCAATTAATAGTAGAAATTATGCAAACAAAACACAAAATTGTCGCGTACACACACGTATATAGGTGTCTAAAAGCGAATATTTATGCAATTTATATTTGCAGATACGGGTGACCAAATATTAATTTTTATATTCAATGTTATAAAAAATTTACGATTGGTAGTAAACTTTAGGAATTTAATATAATTAGTTCTTAAATCCTTACAAATTTTTACAAGACAAATCTTCAGTTAATAGATTTAGTTTTTTTTCTTCCTGCGAAAGCCGTTTGCCAGTCTTTATCAGTTGTGTCTTGCGTACTTTTTTTTCGACTGTACAAGGATTTTCAACTCGTACCAGGGTATACCTGGACCCGGGATGGTGAATAGGAATCTCGGAATGGGGTCCTCGTGACGCATCTCTCTCTCTCTCTCTCTCTCTCCCCCCCCTCTCTATTCCTTCCGAATCGCGTACGTGCATGTCTGTTTCACTTCCTCAAGTGTTCTCCCCCTTCCTCACTCTCGTCGTCTACATTTTTTCTCTTGCTCCGGCCGTCGTTCGGCCTTCCCTTCCGTCACTCTCGTTGGCGCCTCACCAAGCACGACCACGGGAGTGTGGCTGACAGTTTACCTCACGATCTCAACTGGCACGCCGGGAGGTTTGAAAAGTGCTCCGAATCGAAATCGCATTTTGTTGTACTCTCTGCCGAACTTTCTTCCTCCGGGAAACGGAAGAAATTGGGAACGGTTTCCTCTTTTCGCAACAAAAACGTGACAAAGGATGAAAATGCTTGTTGGGAATGTGAACGACAGTATAAATACTATGTCGACAGAAGGTAGTACTCCAATGTAGTAAAGAAGTAATCAAGAAGTATTATAAATTATTACTTAATTGTGCATTTATTGTCAGATTAACTTATTAAAATTAAGTTATTGAAATTTAAATTGAGGAGCTGTCTGATATCAAAAATTTGTGAAGTGTCAGTGACGGAAAATCTAAATTTGTATAAACAGCTACACGGAGAGAATTTTCTTTCAAAAATTATCCTAGAAATTATGTAATCGTGGGACAACACGGCATTTCGAAGAATTTTACTAGAGTTTTTTGAAATTTTACCATACATTTCACTAGTAACTATGCTTAGTGTATATTTTACTAGTAAAATGTATGGGTAAAATTTCAAAAACTCTCATAAAGTTTTTCAAAATGTCATAGTGTCCAACATAATTTTTTAGGATAAATTTTAAGAGAAAGTTCTCTCCGTGTATGCTTAATAGTTGTAAATTATTACAAGACGTGCAAAGGATGGAAGTACAGTAGTTATATTGTTGCTAAAAAAAATGAGAATAATAATACAAAATAATATTTGAAATCTCAAAAGGGCAGATTTTAAAGAAAAACTTAAATTTTTACTGAAACGATTTAGGGAAAATTTTGTTTGTCGAAGAAAAGAACTTAAGAACTTGTGCTCGAGATAAAAGCGTAAGGGTCTCTTCTTTAGAGATAAACATCTTAGTGATAATGCTGAGTATTTCCATTGTAACGTGATACATACTTCAGGGATACTCAGTTATTGCCGTTAGAAAATCAGTAAGGGAAATGAATACCTACTTCGTTTGAGAACATCGGCATTCTCGTTAACGGGATAGCTGCATTACTACAAACTAACAATAAAGTGCATAATGCATACAGATGTTATCGCATTAGTCGAACGTCAATCACGACCACATAATTATACAATTGCTCGGGCCCCAACAATTATCCAGTCAACAAATTCTTAATATCAATTTTTCAGCATTCAAACACTCTTTGAGTTGTCACAACGATTGTCAGTATTTTGTCAGAAGTGGCGCGCAGCTTATTGATGTTATTGAAATATCTTTTTAAGAAGATTAATAGGTGCGCAAAGTGAATAAAAACTTACAAATCAATGAATGTAGATTTTCGTGATAGTCAACACGAATATGTTTCTGTTTCTAACACCTTGTAAATTCGATTCATTTAGCAAACTCGAAAATAAACTAAAGAAGATATTGATATACTGTGCGAGGACGCGAGATGTTTAAATGACAACAGTTAACGAAGGTTGGCGATGAAGTGTACAGATACCATAGGAAAGAAAAGGAAGTGCAAGAGCTTAGAAAGTAGCCCGCGTCCCAGACAAAGTGGAATGGTCACTCAGCATCCGCGAGATCTCTAATTAATCCTCGCCGAGACCTTGAGAGAGTAGGAACTCGCGTATGACGTATTGAACGTATTGCCAATGAGAGAAGGTTTAATCGTAAATGTACCCGAGCATTCCGATACGTGAGCCCGTCGTTGCGCTGCACATTACGGAATTGCGTCACGTGAGTCTCATGCCGATGCTGCGAACGCATCGGAAGCGGCTCGAACGAAAGCCGATTGTCCCGACGACGAGAAAAATTCCGTGGGGGCGCAATTGCACGTGGACGAGGGAAATTCCACATGCGTCTGCGACCTCTCTGGAAAAACTCCGCCGTTATACGTAGAGCCTGTCACGCGGCACTCGTCCTTCAAAAAGATTTTCACCACTTAATTTTCTACTTTTGTTCAACTTTAAATTAATGTCTATTTAAATCTTTTGTCTGTTTATATAACTTTTTTACATGTAGAAATTTTCCAAATTAATAGAACTCTTTTGGCTTCTTATATGCACGTAATTCTTGAAATGTTTTCTGTGCATTTGAATTACCGTCGTAAGTCGAAGCAAAATGTATCTGGGTCAAACATACTGCTATCAAGAACGAGCCGTTAAGCGAAATATAATACGATAAAGTGCAATCGTGCAAAAATTATCAAACATTATAGCTTCCTCCAAACAAACAGTATAGTTTCCTTAGTTTTCCAGTACATTTAAGCTGTGCTCGCATATTTATCTTTTCACTTGTATATGTTTTACAGATATAAGCGCTATAAGATTGACGTAGCCTAGTTCTGTGAAGAATCTTACCTTCTTTTAATAATCTGTTTTCCAAAATACATCCAGCATTTTCTGAGACAGATAATCAATTAAGTGTACGAAAGCGAGAGTAATTTTACCTGTGTAATATACAAAAAAATGTCAATGGTGGATCTGACATAATATTGTTCACGATTCGCAGTTCGACGAGGAAAGTTTTCTTCTGTAATTGCTCTTTCCTGCGTGTCGCAAGCAAGAAACAGAACTGTTTATTACGCGGATTTGGTTTGCGCTTGTTGCAACATACGCTCACAAAATTGCTGTGAACATGCATACCATATATGTATTGCCGGTCTCATGAAACTGGCAAAACTATCGATTGATCAATATACAATATCTCTTATGGTGTAATAAGAAAGCGTCCGAATTTCCATGTTTCTCAGCGCTCAACTTTCGAATCTGCTGCATATTTTAATAATTTCGTAATTTACGCAGAGACTGACGGTAGGAATAATCCAAATGTAACGTTAACTTTAATCTTCAATTTTTCTAATTGTAGCTTTGACGCTATATTTGTATGTGCACCACGTGAAATACGAGATTCGTATCACCGTTTTATTTTAATAATATTTCAAATGTGCATTTTATTTGAAATATCTATAAATAATATGAGAAAGTAAATAAATGCATCAAATTTACTGGAGCCTAGAGCAACATCGATTGTAACGAACAAACGCAAGCGTGCAGCGTAGCGGAAACGCCTCTCGTCTAAAGTTGCTTGTCTCTGATTAACGTGGCACATCAGCACCTTGGAGAGCACCTTTCTCTAGGAAGCAAAATAATTCTGTTAATAACGAACGGCTGTTACGCGATAGTGAACAGAAAAATTGAAAGTTACAGGCAAGCGCATCTTGCAGCTAATTTTCTTTCGCGCAAAAATTCTTGGCAGAATATTACACTCTTGCGCACGATAGGCGTGAAAAAGAAACTATCTGCTAGCAGAAAATACGATACCTTTTCAAAATTAATTGCTCGTTTCCGATATAAATTCTAAATGGATATTCCAAGTAACTGAAAGATAAATTAATATAATACAATTGATATTGAAAATGACAAGTTTTTCTTATTGAAGTAATTATTTGTACTCTAACACTTATATAACATTTATTTAGATTATATGAAAATATAATTATACGTGATAAATATAAATATGTAAAATTTAATTATATAAAAGTTATATCACCATAAACGTAATAATTATTCCCATAAAAGTATATATAATTATTCAACGGGGAGTTGAATGTGAACGTTTGTATGGAAGATTTATCGGCTAGTGCGTTTAAAGTATCTTTGCCACGATTATAGTGGAGCACAGGTTTTATGTCTACGCTCGTATAAGAGACACCTCTTATCGGATATCACGTCACTGTACAATCCTTGACGTTCCATCACCGGCACGTTTTCCCGTCTCTGCATTCAATCCTCTTAGTTTCTAACGATCATGAAACCGATGCGTGTTAGTTGAGAAAATATCTACAGCGCACAGCCTTCATTATCGCATAACTCTTTCATGTAAGCTAATAATATAAATACGAGTTACTCGTCTCTCACACGTCTATTTTTTTTTATAAACGACCAAGTTTCATTAAGGAATTAGAATGGAATAGGAGACATTTGTACGTCACTGATAAAAAAAAAATGGCACGCGGCACATGAAACGTGGCCACACGAAACGAATGATACAATTTTGCACGTAATGCGAAGCATTGCAAATTCTTTACGATTCTTTCAGCATACGATTCAACGTCCGACGTATCCTTCACTGTCAAGGAAGAGGACGCGATTGTGACGTTGGTGGTCGTTGTAATCGGCATCATCATCGTCATATTGGCGCTGTTCTCAATGGGTATCTTCATAGATTGCAAACACCAGTACGTAACAACGAGCCTTTTTCAAAGCGTCTGCATTTCGTTGATCAAACAATTTTCATAAATAACAGCGACGTTATTCATTAGTATACGCACAACAGAAAGTTCTATTTAAAGAGACGGTGTAAGCTTAGCTGAGATGATGTATTCATGTCACGGACGTTCCCTAGAACGAGAATAAAATCGGTTATTGTAATAACGGATATTATTGCAGAAAGAAAGATTCTTCGAAGAAGAGAAGACTGAGGCTGAAAATGCCGCCGCTCACACGAAAAGGCTGCAAAACCGACGTGAAAGCCTTAGCTCCAAATATGTATCCCAACGGCGCCGACGATACCGGACTCAAGGATGAGAGGGATGATATAGTTTGACGTTCGGAAGAATTACGAAAGATTCAGGAAAATTACGACACACGTTTGATAAAGACTGTACAAAAAATTTGAGACCTACAAGTCTCATGACGATTATAGTCAGTATTTAATAATTTATATGAGTGGGAGAAATGTTGAAACATTCCTTAGTCACAATTTTCCAAAGCAAATTCGAAAATTTCGAAGACCTATTGTTCAATCAAAGATATGCGATTGAATTACTTCGTATAAATGCAGTTGATAAATTTGGAATTGAGTAACAGCGACTCAAAATTAAAGCTAACCCGAACAAAAGTATACGTATCTCTTGTAATCTATAGTGCGTATTCGGATAATTTAGATATCGCATAGATATAATAATTTCGAATATTGGTAAAAATACGGTAATAATTCGAGTCGAGTTGAGATAAAGCTTATTCGCGTGGCGGACTGCACAAACAAAAATTAAGTCCATATATTTTAATATTACAAATTTATGGCACTATATCCCGTACGTGAATATTTTAATCGACACGAGCGGCGGTACCTACAGGAAAAAAAGAACGAAATTTATTTGGTCGTCTCAAATTTAATATACATATACGTATATATTAAATGAGAAGCAATATTTTATAAGATGACGTCTACCTAGTGAGAAATGATTCGTCGATCGATGTCGAAATGATGTCGAATCGACGTCAATTCGACGGTGCCGATGTCGATTCGACGTCGTTTCGACGAATCATTTCTCACTGGGTATGTCCGATCAGTAAATAGCATTCTTTGCTCTTCCATTTCCGTCGGGACGCATTTCTCAAATACTGCTCGTATTGGAGAACACTCTCAATACACACGAGATTAATCCTCGCTCTGATGTGCTCTATAGTAATTTTAATTTTATATAGTACTTGCTGTTTTTTAGCTGTCTAATGTAACAGTTCAGTATTCACAGTTGTAAACAATTATTATTTAACTTCAGTGCCTTCTTTTTCCTACAAAAGGCACAAAAACAAGTTTTACGTTAATTGTAATCTAAAATTATTTATTACATATGTTCTATTTATGTTGATAATAAGAAGATATCAATTATTGACAAAATATGTTTTATTCTATACACGTATATGTATATTTAATAATTGTTTTCATTACGAAGCAAATAATACAAACAGAGACCAGTGTTTTATATTTTTCTAAAACATATGAATTAGTTATTATACGAATCTCTCTCTTAAAACCCAAATTGATTAATTCCATAAAATAAAAAGCAAAAAGTCCGCCGAAGTTATGAGCTATCATATTAGCTCCGGTATTAAAATTGAGAAATTTGTAAAAAGTGAAGTTGATCGGGCTTTTTATTTAGTTTTTGAGAGAGAGAGAGATATATATATATATATATATATATATATACATGAACGTATAAAGCAGCATACAGACAGGTGTGACTTCTTATTGCAACCGAATATCAGGGAAAGTAAATAATATGCGCGGTATTCTTAGAAGAGATTTTTTTCACGATATCTGTTTTTCTGAAGAGAAGATCTGTTATAATTGTTATCATTGTCACAAATAATTCTAATATAAAAGATCTATAAAGACTGGCCGTAATAATCGATAATTTATAGATCGATTAATAAGTATTAATATTTTGTAATTAAAAATAATGTATGACTTCTTTTATACGACAATACATAGATTAAAATAAATTTATATTTAATTATAATTGATATATAGAGATAAATAGCAAATTTGTTGACAACTTCACAAAGAAAGAACATAAAACTTTGTCACCCTTCCATTAACAATATTTACGCCAAAGAATGTTTCCTTTGATGTAAATCGCGCGGAAAGAGATTTTATATATTTATATAATGCGCACAAATGATATCCTTTTGTACGCTAAAGGTATTGTTTAAATTATTATGATTAAACGAATATTTATGAATATTTTGTTTATCTATGGTATGAATGTGTACTTTGTATTTTGCATATCAATAGGATACATAAATATTAGTAATGATAATTAAAATTTATTTAAATATAAACACATCTTGTTTCATTTTTTATTTATTACTTTTATTACTCACATCAGCATTTTTCCATGTTTGTGGTATTTTTGAAAGTTTTGTATATATGCACGTATAATTACAGAAAAATCATCAAAATCTAAATTTGAACGTGGTACTGTTGTTAGGCGTTTTAACTGAAGTGGCTTACTTTATTCACCCGCTATCAAGTATTCATAATAAGAAGTTTAAATCCTCACATGATACATAACACAGTATAAAAAATAAACTTTTTTTAACTTTTTTGCCAATTTTAACACATTAAACCAGTACGAATTATTTCGTAAGTGGCGTGGGCAAAAAGTAGGCCAAATATAAGTATCTCGTGCGTGGTAATCAATGTGTTAAACAATAGTGTACTCGCTTTTTAAATGTTAACAAATTTTTAAATACTAGTGGCTAGACAATAGCTTATAGCTAACTTTTTACAGGTCTCCAGCATCTATTCCATTATTTACAGAAGCTAGACAAGTCCTAGATAGTCAAGAACTAATCCTAATTGTAAGCTATAAGGCAAAGGCTACATGACATATCTAGTCCAGATGATACAGTCATTAGTTATAAAATAAGCTATAAGATTGGAGATTAATTTTCACTCGTGCGCGTGTGTTTGTACATATGGTACATAATCTATTTCACTAATATTAAAATAAATTTAGTATGCGTCGGTAAACAATGGAAACCTTTATTCTTTTGTACTTGAAAAGCATTGATATTCATATTATGTCATGCTATGATATTCACAAGCATTGATACATTGATAATCATAATACTTGCAATGTAAAAATCTAAGTAAACTGCAAAATAACATAAAACGCACTATAAATCTCTATAAATTGTTAAATGATTATAAATGACTATTAAAATAATTTTTCTAAGTATTATTGTATCGTAGAATTTGGTATCATTTTCAAAAATTCATGTTCAATTCTTGTAATAACCTGTAAGAAATGATTAGTCGAAACGATGTCGACACTGTCAAGTTCGACGTCAATTCGACATCAATTTGAAGGTGTCGATGTCGATTCAACATCGTTTCGACGTCGATTAACGAATTATTTCTCGCTGGGTATAGCCTACATTCCGTGATAAAATTGGCATTATTGAAAAAGATTCAATAAAGATATGTATTTGCAACATATCATCTGATACAAATTTCAAACCTTTATAAATGAAAAATTATCCGAAACTGCATTCGGAGTCGGCCTCACAATCAGTTAGAATGTCTGAAGTTAAAAATCTGAATAATAAAACTTAAAATTTTACGTATTAAAAATTAACAAAAGTTATACTTCAATGTATATGTTTTTAAACTTCGTAAAAATTCACGCACATTTTAATAAAAACTATTTAAGTCACTTTAATAAAAAAATATTAAAAAGTGGAAAGTGAAAGAAAAATTTATCACAAAATAAACGAAATTGATTAAAAATCGATCGGCAGATGTTTAAATGTGCATCATGCTTTGGTTTATACTCTTTTATAAATCTAAATGCTAAACTTGTCAAGGTTGATACTGGAATGCCTGAAAGATATTCGGCTTGGTTCTCGCGAATCGCATCACAGTAGAAATGGCAGGCGTGTGTTTTCCTTGGCGTACGTCGCTGACCTTCTTGAGCCAGCACCTTGGTCCACAAAAGACAGATGGCCACGGGCCGGATTAATCTTATTTAAATACGTCCAAGGACCATAGCCAGCAATGCCATGCGAACATAGACTCCGTTTTCAGCTTGCCGGAAGTACGCCGCCCGCGGATCGGTGTCGAATTCTTTGCTTATCTCAAAGACACGTGGAAGGGGATGCATCACTGCCATCTTTCTCTTAGCGCGAGACATCAGCTGCGGAGTTACTACGAAGAGTCCGCACATCTGTCGTACATACAATGATTTCTTTTTTAATATAGTACATAAACTTAATTGAAAGCAGATACTGAATGAGTAAGCGTGGCTTAAGGTAAGATAAAAATAATACTTCGAGCTATAATCAATTTTACTATATAATAATTTTAAAATTTTTTTAATGATTTAACAATAATGAGTGGTAAATTTGCATTTTTGTAGATTTAATGCTCGATTAATGCCTTTCTTAAGACTCACCTTATGATATTGTTCTTCCGTGGCAAAGCGCTCGCTTTGTATTCGTGTCATATAAAGCACGTCGGTGTCAGGCAGAGCCTCTTCCAGAGTTTCAAATCTCTCTTGCGGGATACCACGTTCGGCCACGTAATTAGTGACGTGACTCGGCATCTCAAGGCCTAGTGGATTAACGTAGCGCAATTCTACGTTGTACAGGGTCAGCAGCCTATATAAAAAAATTCAATAAATGAGGTGTGTTAAAAAAATGCCTTGACTCGAATAAACTGTTATAGACGATAATTTGATTGTTCGCAACTGAAATTAATCGAAGTTTACAATCATACGAATTAAAATTTTCTTATTATTTAAAATCACGTTAAAAACCTTCTTTTATCATCAGTTACAGATCATGCATCTCGATTATATGTATATCTGAGACATTCAAAAATTCTTTTATTATTAAAAATAATATATCAATCACTAATAACATACCATCACTAATGTATTAGATTGGATCTTTAAATCATGCTTGAGGAGATCTGGTTTCTTTTATTTTCACAAAGTTTCTTTCTGTACTTACACATGTAATTTTTTATCGACTTCCTTTTAACGAAAGTGTCAAGAAACGACAGTTCTCGCGACATTACATAATTTTATTTTCATATATTAAGTATTCTTTAAATATTGATGATGAGAATATCGTACAATTATTTAGAATTGTCGTAATCGCACGTTTCATATAACTGTATCGAAATTTAGAATTAAAACATTGTGTATTTGTCAATCATATATTGTACAATGTGGAGAATTTATTTAAATTATTTAAATTTGTAGTCTTAATAGTTATCGAAAAATTTCATTAACCACTCCTTTCTACAGCGTACAAATTTCCGTATTCCTTTCTTTATTGATTACCTTGACGAGTGGATTCTTTTTATTGCACTAACCTTGCGAGAGAATGAACGGTTCTGCCGTGTTTTAGGTCACCCACCATCGTTATCGTAAGGCCATTTACAGTTCCGAATTCGTCTCTGATTGTGAAAATATCAAGCAACGCTTGCGTCGGATGCTCGCCGGTTCCATCGCCAGCATTCAATATCGGTTTTCTACAATGCTGCGCTACCCTCTGTAAATTATTATCAATATATAGTATTAGGAAATATGCATATACAAAAGGACTTTTTAATTATGACAGAAATTCACGATGTACAACGAATCCACAATAATGGTTGTCGTACTGTTTGCTTCTGTAAGAGAAAGACAAAATAAATTTCTAAATAAAATTACAAACGATAAATAGTAAAATCGAAAACCTTTAAGAAGGAGCATTATTATCATTATTATACAAATTAAATGAACAATTCTTATACTTATAACTTCAATACTTACAGCGGCTGCACCCGGCAGAGAGTGTCGAAGCACAATCACGTCCGCGTATCCTCCCATCACTGTTACTGTATCTAAAAGCAATAATTTATCGGATATTTAATGGAAGATTAGAAAAGCATTCGTTAAGATCGTGCATTTTTAATAGATTGTCTTTGTACACTGGGATAATAATTGGTTGGAATACTTTTCACTGCAATACATTTTTCGAGAAATCCTTTGTTCAGAGAAGATCTCTACGAACCTTCTAAGGTCTCCCCTTTTTTCACCGAAGATGTAGAACCATCCATGTATATCACGCGACCACCGAGACGTTCCATTGCAGCGGCAAAGCTGCACGACGTTCTCGTGCTGACTTCGTAGAAGATGGAAGCCATGATCTTCCCCTTAATCATACATGACATTTTATCTTTTAGATATCTTCAGATTATTCGTAAACGCGAAGCTATATAATCTTTTAATTAATTACCTTTAAAATATGATCCAACGGTCGTTCCTTCCTGATGGCATTTCGGAACGTTTCCGCTAAGTGGAACACATCCTTTAATATCTCTTTGTTAAAGATGTCCACGGTAATCACGTGATGCCCGACTAGACTGTTGCCTGCATGGATAACTGGAAACGATGCGACGGCAGTCATAAGCAGATTCGGATTACTGTCGCTTTTGTGTCTAGTGACATTGCTAATTGGCAACGGTGAGACAGTTCTTTGAGATGGCAGTGCCTTGGAATGTTCTTTGTCAACGTCCGTACACGGTGCGAAGTGGACGTTCGACTTGTGCGATGCCGGTTGTAAGAGATGCATATACGACTCTGGCAATACAAAAAATTAATTTAATTTCGCGCATATTTGCTTTTCGACAGAAAGTTATAAATTTTGTTCTTGCAACAGCACGCAAAGCGAGAAGAAACATTTATGATTCGACTTTATTTGCAAACATGTCTGTCGATTTCGGATGACAACATCTCCACCAAATACTTGACAGACTATCTTGACATAAAAAATAAATGTACATTAGTTGAAAGAAATTCATTTTTGTAAAGTTTGCTGCAACTGGATAGAATATGTTTTTTTTTTGTCAACAATCAGATTACTTCAAAAGCTTTCACACGTTATTTAGCAACGCGGAATAATTCTTTCGATATTCGTATTTGCATTATCGTACCGATTTGTTCGTCTTCGTGCAAATCGGCGACACGATCGATGTGGACGTTAGGCTTCTCAAAGTTCGGCGATAGGAGACTGTCTAGTGACAAAGGCCTGTGAACGACGTCTGCGAGCTGACTAGAGACTGTCGGCACATGGAGCGTTGGTGGCACCTTTGTGCTGTATTGCACATCCCTGATGTCTTGGCCGAATCCAGGATTTACTAGCACCTGCCCTTCGATGTAAGCAATCTCGCCTCTTAAGACCACTCTGTGCACGGAACCGCGAATTGTCATGCCAGTAAAAGGCGTCCATTTCGATTTGCTGTACGGCATTGCGTCCGGGATAACCCATTCGTCATCCAGATCGACCTCGATGTACGTGTTACGCTGATCGGGAATGTTGAAGATCTTCTTGGGATTTCGATACAATTTGTCTACAATGTCCTGTAATTGACGCACAATAGTTTTGATAGCACTCTAACAATGTAACCTTAGTACCTAATAAAATTTGAATACACATATTTTCTTGTTGTAAATAATTGATAGCGTCCTTATCATTAATTTAAATAGGAACAATTGCTCAAATAAAATTTACTTTGCAATTGAAACTGTCTAGTATAATAAAAAAAGATCGACAACAAAGCACTTTCCTCATTTTTTTCACTTGTAGTAAGTGTCTTTGTGCGATACTTATCTCGACTTATTATCAGACAATAGCGCTCATCTGTAGTGGAAAAAATGATAAGCATAAGACATAAGATCGTGTCTGAAAAGCTGTCGGAATTTCAGGCTTCTGTTGCAAGAACGAAATGTTCCCGACAAGTTACTTCAGTCTTTGATTTATTGCATGAAATCCAAGCAATTATTATCATACCGAAGATTGTGAAAATAGTATTATGAAAAACAGTATATAATATGTTTATGTAATTTTCGTACAAGTTTTAGATATAAAGGACTTCCTCTCAAGTTTCTTCCAGACGTCCTGTTTTACTACGTCACGTTAGGTATGAAATGTGCCTGAGGGAATCGGAATGACGTATACGATATTCGCATTCTCGAGAGCAATTTTAGCGTTATCAGGCAAAATGCTTATCGACATTCCTTTCTCATTACGTCAGCCAGACATTGTTAAATGTTATATTAATTAAAACAGAAAATACCTCTATTGTTAGCCTCCCTTTATGCACGGCGTTCAGTAAAAGCGGTAACATAGTTTCCAAGCCGGGAAATCCTGGCGGCGGTTTCTCAGAAAACTTCTCGTCAACGGTGTGCGGGGCTGTACAATGCAAAACAATGTCTCAATAAAACTGTGCAAATTATATGAAAGGCGATGCGATGGCACGATCGCGTGATCTCTCGCGTTGCATATCCCTTAATATCCTTGAATAAAAATAGACAGTGATCTTGCAAATTATCAAAACATTAATTTTTATCTCAGAGCGCTAATTGCTTAATTATTTCTAAACAACTGCAAGAGCCCGATATAGTATCAATGCCTCGGGACACAAAAAGAATATTCTTGTATGACTTAAAAGCAAAACAAAGTAAACGTTATATAAACATGGAACGCCGATCTTTTTAATCTCCGGATCATAGAGTAATGCTGGTCGTTATCGTTTCGAGATAAATTGAATTTATTCTGCTACGTGTAGCCGAAATTTGAGCGAAACCTCTACAGCTTGTAACTTAATTACAGTTATAATTAAAGTCATTGACATAACGATAAATTTGCTGACGTACCATGATCGGTCGCGAAACAATCAATCACATCCATGTTATCCCAGAGAGCCTCTTGGTCCTCCTTTGTTCCCAGAGTGGGTCTTACTTGACCTCGTCCAGTTCCTATTCGTTCCAAGTCATCCTGGCAAAGGAATAAATGGTGCGGACACACCTCGCACGTAACCGGTAAGCCCTGTAAAAATATATATGTATCGAGTCATTAGTATTAATAAAGGTGCGATATTTTTTAGATATCTTTTAATTTAAATTTATAATAAACACTTATTAAATTTAAATACTTGTTACCTTAATTATAATAAAATTATAAATTCTTAAAATCGGTTTTTTATCCTTCTGTTATTAATCAATGTCTTTCATAATTGCCTTTGGCATTTTCTAATTATTTCAATTTCCTAACCGACTTTCTTCGTTTTTATTATCGATATATGTTAGGATAACTCACATGCTCCTTGGCAGCTCGAATGATTTGTATCTCCTCTTTACGCGCTACGTGACACACGTGAATCGGCCTGCTGTGCAAACTCGCCAGCAACAGAACTGCAGCTGTGGTTTGCCCTTCCGCGTGCACGCACAAGGGATATTTCTTCGGCCAACTCTCAAAGTGCTGCAAAAGGGAAGCAGCTATGTAACTTGAAATATAAATATTATGTGTGCCCTGTACATATGTGTATCAAATTCGCAAATAAACGAGATTAGTTAAAGAGCATATTTAAAAAAATTGAAATTCGATGTTTGCCTGCAAGCGTGAAGATCATTTACCTTAACCCAAACAGTAAGATCAGTGAGACGAAGCGTTGTATATGTCTCGTTCAGATACATCTTCAGCGCGGCCACGTGCGGTGCTAACTCCCGTACATCATTGTAATTGTCTGACGAGGCGCCGGCGAAGAGGGCGTAGTCGCATCGCGAACCAGCTGCAGCTTGCTGTTCAAGTGGACAGTAAATAAGATCTTGTTATTTCATTATAACAAATTACTTGACATTACTTTTAAACGCGATTAAAATTCAGTTGGAATCTTATCGACAATACATGAGAAACATAAATGAAGAGTGTGCGAAATCAATAGTCAACTTCAAAGTATCTATATAAGAAATCAATGTTATACGCTGATAAGTCAATATGTGTCTGTCTTTTTCAACGTAAAAGAATTTTAAAACTCAGGACGATAAAACAAAATGTCACTTTTTAAGTTCGCGCTATCGCGCGATATCGCAATGTTAAAATCTGGTGCGCTAGCTGCAGCATTCAGTTTTTTATAATTATGCAATAGCTTGATTTTTATTTTATCATCACTTAAATTATTACTTAAATACAAGAGGTTTGCATTTTTTAGTCGATTTTTATGCGCCACTATTGCCTTCTCCGTATACGATACGTGAATAATGACTGCAAATATTTTAATTTAATAAGCACTTTGTTGAATGTCTTATAAATTCTTGTATGAAATAATAGAAAGTGAATATCAAGTATTTAACACATGAGAACAGCAGCTTGGTTTAAGAGATAAGGGCATCGAACCGTTCACAGTTAATCAAAAAACTTCACTGCCATGTGTGATTAAAATAAAACAAGACAGCGCTGATTTATCATCAGAAGTTCTGTATATTTTTGTAAAATTCAAAGTCTCTCGAAAAGATTTCGATACCAATTTTCCACAAAGTTAAAACTTTATGTTTGGATATTTATATCCAGGTAGAAAAGTAATGTCATGTGTGATGTATAACATGACTTACTGACACGTAACATGTTCTCACAAATGTAATCAACAATTGATTTTAAGATATCTATGAGAAGTTGCTTACCGCTTTGGCGAAGGCAAAAGTTGTGTGATCCACTACCGCAGGATTGGTATTGGGCATCGCAAAAATAATTGTTATGCCTCCAGCGAGTGCTGCCGCGGTGCAAGAGGCGTAGTCCTCCTTGTGGACCGCTCCAGGATCGCGGGTGTGCACGTGTACATCGATGAGGCCGGGTAGTTTGATCATTTTGCGCGATGATATGCAATCGGTGTGTGTTTTCATACGAGGTGCTTTTCCGCCGACCATTCTCAACGCCTGCACAAAGAAACGAGCTAATTAGTATTTATTTTATTCATCTATTCTATTTATTTATCTCATTCGCGATTATATAATCATAAGTTGGTGTCAATTATAAAATTGACACCAAGTTGCGCGTGCATGGTGTAATCGTGACGCATTTAAATGATCAGAAAAAGGAAATACAATTTGCCTGTCTAGATGGAAGATTATTTTATGCGATGAATAAAAATTTGAATATCTGCTTTAATATAAAATTTAATAAGTTACGGATTATTGCTTTTTACGTATATAATTAAAAGTTTAAAAGAAGCTGAAGATTATTATTTTTTATATTGGAGTATTTTCTGATATCTTATCAAATAAAGTAATTTGGTATATTATTATCTGTATTTCGACAACATGGTATCGACAACTATCTATACTTTTAGGCATTACAAAAATGTAATTCAATCAACAAAATTGAAAGGATTATTAATAATTCTCAGACGAATATCTAAATAATTTTGAAAATAATTTTCAGTAGAAGATTTTCGTTTATTTTTAAATAAATTTATATGATTTTTTTATCAATTTAGATAAAAAATATCATCTAAAATAAATTTTAGATGATATTTTAAATATTTTTGTAAAAATCTTGATAATTTTTTAAAATCTAGCATATGAGGGTTAGAATTACAAATGTGTGTGAGCTTTGAAATAAACTTTGACCTATGATAAAATATTTGTTTTTATCACATAGAGACTAAAATGGTGTTTTAACGTTTGAGAATTAAGATTTTCAGTATAGTCTTAAAATGTGTGGGTCCTGAAGTAAACTTTGCACCTAATCTACCTTCGCGCCTTATCAACAATGTGCACAAAACGTGAGTAAGAGTGAGTAATTTAATCTGGTTGATCAGAAACGATCTTTGATCACTGACGCAGAGTGATATAAGATGTAGTTTTAAATGAGACGGTAACGTCACGTAAGCATATTTTAATCGTACTATTTAATCAAATTACTTCTTGAAGCAAAATTTATCTTATACGCCATGTTTGTTTAAATAGGATCGAAAATCTGGATACTTACATCAACTAGGAGCTTGGCGCATTTAACATCCGTTATTAAAGGTACGGAGTAATCGATTGCCAGTCTTCTCGTTCGGTAACCATGCGTCATGAAATTGGAGACACGCCGGGCACCACCGTTTCTCATCGGCAGATTGATCACGAGATCGAATTGCTTCTTCGACAAGAAGTCGGCAAGATGCCGAAGTTGACTTGGGCTGGAATCCTCGTTCACGGCAATGTTTTCGAACGTCCATTGTACCGGTTCCACCTGTATTACAGAAATTTGTTGCAAGATCGTGGTACAACAATTATCTAGAATTATGAATATCCAAAATCTATGATGAAAGCAAAGAATAATATTTGGCGAAAAAGCACACTAATTCAAATACAATTTATAAAATGCAAATAAAAATAACAGGTAACGTTTATTAATATACATTTGCGTGCGTGCGTGCGTCAATAATAAAATTGAAATAGAAATATTATATAGAGATTTACTTCTCGTGAAACCAAGATTTATATTTGTTTTAAGCATTTAATTCCTCCATTTCTAACCGATGTCATTTTACTCCCGGCGTACAATTATATTGTGTTCATGGAGTTTCTCATATTTAGTATTAAATCTGGTAATTATTTAGATTAACACACCCACCTCCAATAACCTTGGGCTTGACATATGTTGTCAAGGTTACCCTCCTGAGTAACGCTCAGAAGGATTTAGCCGGCGCTCGTTGTTTATTAAAAAGTTATAAACAAAAGAAGTTTCGCAAATGCTATGTAGTTCACGATATCATGTACGTTTAGGATGGCCTCACGTGGAAAGTTTCTGACACCATATACAATTCAAAGAAGGTATAAGTGTCTTTGAGTAATAGTTTTCGAGAAAAATGATGGAGTCTAAATCTTGTATCTTTTTAACGAATCAGTTGCAAGTGTCTTTAGCACGGCGCGCTGCGCGCGCCCCACCCCCCCCCGCCCCCCCCCCCCCCCTCCCCACCCTCCCCCTCCCCTTCCCC